TGATCGTTGCAGTTTGTGTTGCTGCTGCTGCTGTGCGTGGACACCAGCTTGGCTGCCACACTGCCCACTCGTCCCTCTTTCTGTTCCTCCTTCTCCTTCGTCATGGTTCATGTCGTGGCTTGGCATTTGCAGTGGCACAACACTCAGCTGGTGCTTGAGAGCATGGTGTGGGGGGGGTGCGCTTGATGGAACAAATTCCAGCCCCCCCCCAGGTCCTCAGAGGTATGTCACCAGACAGAGTCCCTTTCGATCCGATTCGATATCGATGCTGACCTGTTCGATCTGATTCCGTTCTTATATTCCGATGATCGGATGCGGCCCGTTATAGTTCTATTGCGGCGTTGTGGTACATCTTGGTGTTGCCGATCGCATTCGATCTCGATGCCGTACAGATGCAGCCCAGCCCTTCAGCCCGGCGCACAATTCGATTCGATCAGATTTGTCCGATTCGACGTTGATTGATTTTGCCAGGCTGGTGGATACAGAGTGGGTTCTCCTGAGTCCTGGAAGGACCCCCCCTGGCGGCGCAGATGTCGCAGAGGGTGGCAGATGATCACCACTTACCAAACCACCCCAACCCAACCCGAAGGCCCCAATTTGCTGCCCTCCATTCCCAGAGAGGCGGGGGTCGGGGAACATGGAATAAAACATATGAAGCCTGTACCCCCCCCCAAACCCGAAATTCGGGCCTTCGGGTTGGGTTGTGGCGGTCTGGTAGTTAGTCACTTCTAGAGAAGGGCAGAGGACAGAATCCGTAGGTTGGCCCGACTGCGAGTCCAGGCGGGGAGGGTGTGATTACTGGTCGGCGGGAGGCCGAGCACCTTTGTTTTTCTCCCAGACTTCCTCGCGCCGTCACAGAAACAAGCACGGCGGAAGGCTCTTGGCAAGTTTCGGAAGAGGTCTTTCCAACTGGGCACCCAGACCGCCGAAGAACTGGCCAGGATTCGAGCTCGCCCCGTAACAGATGGGGAACGACGTCGTGGCCCCAGAAGCCGGACACCGCAAGCCAGGACTCCGACGCCCACGGCGGCAGAGCACGCAGGCTGGAGCACGCTCCGACCCGCGGCTGCAGCCCTCTCTGGACGCGCTGGAGCCCCGGTCGGTCCGCGTCCTCGTTCACGGGGCACTGGCGAAGACGCGCTCGGGCGCCGGCCTCCGAGCCTGTACAGTAGGCGCCTCAAGTAACAGACAACGGCCTGCCAGCAGGTGCCCCAGGGAAGTGCCCGATCTCCCGAGGGCCCTTGGGTCCCACAGTACCCCGGGATCCTCCAAAGTTGCTGAAAGAGTGTGCCCAAATGTTTAGTTCGGAAAGCTCTCTCCCCGCATCTATCCACTGTACCTCCTCCCATCCCTATCGCTTCCGTCCCTCACCGCCGCCTCTCCCTCTGGCCTCGTCGTCGTCGTCCTTGTCGCCGCCATCGTTGTCGTCGGCCTCGGCCTCGGCGTCGGCGTCGTCGTCGTCGTTGTCGTCGCCTCTCCAGGCGTTGGCGTCGCGCACCGCGACGTGAAGCCCGAGAACGTCCTCCTTAGCGGGGCCGCTCTCAAGGCGTCTGCCTTTGACATGTCGCCCTCTGCAGTGGGCACATCCAGCAAGGGACAGTCATAGGAGCAAGAAGTCATGGTAAAGCTATGTAGCCCCCGCAGTTGCGGATAAGCGGGTTGGATCGCTGGTGGGTCGCGGGTGGGTCTCAGGGTGGGTCGCGGGGTGGGTCGCGGGATGGGTCGCGGGTGGGTCGCGGGGTGGACCACGGGGCGGGGCGCGGGTGGGTCGTGGAGCGGGTCGTGGGGCGGGTCGCGGGACGACAAACAAACCAACAAACAGAGTCCGCGCCGCGGAACTCCGCTTCAGCCACGCACCCAGGGACAATGCATGACCGTTTGGTCCCCCTCATTCTGACGCTCTGAACTGACAATCTTTGTTGTTGTCCCGCGCAGCCAGAGTCGACTCCGGAACCCCCGGAAAGCATCCTGGGCCAATCGCACCATGACATCATTCTCGTCTTGGAGAGGCTTGCCAGCAGATGCCTCGCAGGCATCTCTTGATCCACGGCTGCCTCCTGGGCCTCCATCGGAACCCTGTGGCGCCCCATGAAGCTCGCGATCGACACAACATGTGTCCCCAGACTTTTGGCAGCAGAGTTCATCACCGTGTGCGCATCTGTTGTGCGAGGGGGGGCTGTGGAGCGCCAGGGAGCAGCGGCAGAGCTTCGGCCTAGGGAGGAAAAGGCACCCCGAACCACATGATGGTCGTCCAACTTAAGTGGCCCTCAGATGCGTTCGCTCTAGGGCTTGGCCGGTCGGGGTGCTTGTTGTGAGGGTGGTTATCTTGCAGTCGTTGCTGAGGAGCTGATGATCTCACCGCGCGCCCCCGCGCGTGCGCCCCTGCGCACCTCGACACGGAGCATCTGGCGCCCGCCGTGCGGCCATCCGCTCGGCCGTGAGCGCCAGTGGGGCAAGCAGGCCCAGGAACAGGATGGAAGAGGAGGACGATGACGAGGATGGACGAGGAGGACGAGGGCGAGGAGGAGGACGAGGAACGGCTAATTAGAGGACGAGGACGAGGATGGCGGAGAAAGAGAATGAGGATGAGGGTGAGCATGAGGATGATGATGGGGATGAGGATGGATTGAGAGGAGGAGGAGGAGGAGGAGGAGGAGGAGGAGGAGGAAGAGGAGGAGCAGGAGGAGGAGGAGGAGAAGAAGAAGAAGAAGACGAGGACGAGGACGAGGATGGAGGAGGAGAAGGAGGATGGAGGTTGACGAGGAGGATGGATGAGGAGGAGGACGAAGACGAGGACGAGAAGACGAGTACGAACGAGGAGGACAAGGAGGACCAGTGCAAACCCAGGACGCATCAAGGATGTGGCAACAAACCCTCCCTCCAAGTTCTTTATTCACAGGTTCCAGCATGAGTGTGTTTTCATTGCGGGACGTGACCAGCTGGAAGACAAAGTTTTGAGACGCTTAGGTTGTGTCAGATAATAATTCTTTGGACTTCAGCGCCCCGAGTCAACTGCTACGTCTTGGCAATCATAAACCGTGCCAGCCCACCATTATTGGTACTCCAACGCCGCTCCTCAGCGTGATTGTTGCGTCCTGAGAATCCGAAGTCGTGCCAGCACACCACTCCCCAGACTTGAACCACATGAATCCTTGACACAGCTGCAAACGTTACAGACGAATGCCATCGGCGCTAGGGCAAGAGCAACATGTTGAAAAGGAGCTACCCTCCATCTTAGAAATTGCTGCAATATTCAGACCGGATGTGCTCGGCGCTCATGCGAGAGACACATGTTGATTACGACCCGCACTCCATCCGTGAAAGTGCTTCAAACTTCTAAGAGGAATGTGCGCGGCGCTAGCAGATCCAGATGTTGAAAACCGCCCGCCCTCCATCCGTGAAATTGTCGCAATCGTTTGCCGCGCATGTGCACGGCGTTGAGGCGACAACCACGTGTTGAAAACCGCCCGCCCTCCACCCGCGAAGCTGTTGCAAGTGTCAAGGCACGAGGTCATACGTGCTGAGGAAGTCTCAGGCGAAGCGCCCGGCCCGCATTACCCACACGTCTGGGGTACGACACGGAGGAGTTACGTACTCATAAGGAGAAGGGGCGGAGGAGGAGTTGGATCAGGCGGAGGAGGGGAGAGGAGGAGGAGGAGGAGGAGGAGGAGGAGGAGGACGTCGACGACGAGGATGACAAATACTACAGGCAGGCGACACGACTACAGCCAAGACGCTGACATGAACACAGCTTTGGGCTCAGGACGGGCTCTGGTTTTCGGGCCGTTCCTTAGATCTAGGTCGGGGAACCTATGCGTGCCCGAGGCTCGCCGTGGCCAAAAAAGTCCGCCCGTGCCTTATTCATCGTTCCCTGAGGTGCCTCGATGCCTGTATGGCAAGTGGGAAGAGGACGACGGCGAGAAAGAGGAGAGGACGAGGATGAGGAGGATAAGGCGGAGAAGGTGCAAATGAGGGACGGTGAAGATTCGGGGGAGGACTACTCCGAGAGGAGGAGGGGAAGGGAGGGGGAAAAGAGTGGCAGGGAGGAGAAATGGGAGAGGGGATTAGCAGCCATCGTAGTGCGCTCGCATTACCACCCATCGCGTCTCACTGCGCATATCCCTTTCCGTTCGCCGAGCTGGGCATGCATTCGAACCAGGGTCCACGCATGACGTCTGCAGTGTTTCCGTCCGTCGTCTATCGTGAAGTGCCCGACGCGGCTTGACGGGGCGACTAATCACACGGGGCGGCCAGGCGATGTGTTTCAGACAGAAAGCGCGCGCAACGGAACCACGCCGTGCACGTGACATTCGAATTCATCATCGAGGGGAGGAGTCGAGGCCCCCGGGGGGCAGAGCATGCGGAGGAGAGAGAGAAGGGTAGCACGTAGTAACGGGAGGAACAGAAGGAGGAGGAGGATGAGGAGGAGGAGGTGGAGGAAGCAGGAAACGGGAAAGTTGAACGAGCAAGGAAAGGATGACGACGGAGGGGCAGGAGAAGGATGAGGATGTGGGAGGAGGAGGACGATTGAGGCCGACGGGCCCGAAGTAACTAGGCGGGCCAGCCCGTTGTCATTCCGCGGGGAATCTCTGGGCCATTGCCTTCTCCTCCTCCGCCGCCTTCCCCCTCCTCTCCCTCCCTCTCCTCTCATATTGCCGCCCTCCCGCTGCCGCCTTTCCCTGTCCTTCGCTCTCCGCCTCTTGTGCTCTAGCCTGCCTGCGCTGCTGCCTCGCCCGCCAAGGCACGTGAGCAAGATGCTGCGTGCTTGCTCTGCGTCAGGAGGGGGAACAAAGACACACACACACACAGACACAATTCATCGTCGATCCCCGGGAAAGCATGGGAAAGTATGGTAAGTGGGGGGGGAAGACGAACACCCAGAACATGTGATATAAACATATGGGGAATCCTGGGATGTGTGTCGATTTGTTTCACTTGCTCCCGGGCCTCTTCGCCGCTGCTTGCCTCGGTGCTGCGCGACACCCGCTGCGGCCTCGGGCTCCCCTGCGCCGCCCACCGTGCCGGGGCACAAGCAGTGCTGCGGGCCCGCGCGGGCGGGAGCGCACGCCCGCGCCGTCCCGGGCCGAGGGCGCTCTGTGCCGGAGGCTGTGTGCTCTTCGGGGGCGGCAAAGAGGGGAGGGTGACGACTATCAGAGGAGGAAAAGGTACCCATGCCTCTACCTTTCCTTCGTTCTCCCCTGTTTGGGCCTCCTGGGAGGCCCTCGTCGCCACCGCTGGATTCGCCTCGAAATCCTGGTCAGAACGCACCTTGGGAGAGGTCCGGGGAGCAGCGGTATCGGTTTGATTTAGTTCCCCCAGAGAACTTATCGGTGGGGGTCCGACCCCTGGGCGATGGCACGCTCGAGCGCCACCCCAGCATCGGGGAAACGTAAGACTCGAGTAAGCCGGAACTCGGGTTTGCCGACTCTTCTTTGACGACCGCGTCCTGGAGTCCCGTTTCCATGGGATGTCTGCAGCGGGAGCCCGCGTCAAATTTCAGATAAGGTCTCGTCATTTTTATGTTGGCCCTCTTCTCATTTTAGTAATTACGTTCCTGGCCTTCCCCCCTGGGCCACGCACGCGCCGCCGGCCATGATTTGCACCCCCCTCCTGGACGCCGCCGAAGATGGTGCGCTCTGCGCTGCAAGGGTCTGGCGACAGCCCGGGTCATCGGGCCCGCCCGACCCCCTCGCCATGGGGACCCCCCCCCCGCCATACCCCCCCCCTGGCCGCCATGTTAACCCCTCTTTCCCTTTCCCGGAAAACCTGACCCTGTCGGTTGCGCAGGTCCGACGGGGGTGCAAGCTCTATTTTTTGATTGGGAGCCTCCAGGCGTTTGATTAGGAGTCTGCCAAATCCTCCTCCTCCCTTTCTCCTCCTCCTTCTCCTCCTCCTCCTCCTCTTCCTCCGTCTCTCGGCGTCCACAGGGGGAGCCTCCTCCTCCTCCTCCTCGTCCTCCTCCTCCTCCTCCTCCTCCTCCTCCTCCTCCTCCCACTCCCCCACACCATCGATGCATCAGGTGCCGTTAGCTCAACTACTTATTCAAATAAGTGAAGGAGGAGGAGGAGGAGAAGGGGGATGGATGATGAGGAGGAGGAGGAGGAGGAGGAAGGGGGAGAAGGAGGAGGGAGCAGACGAGAAGTGGTAGGAGGATGGGGGGAGGCGGCGGATGATGGGAGAAGATGAGGAGGAGGACTGCCAAGTATGCAATAGGCTTCAGGGCGCCTAAGCCCATCTTTAGGATGAGGCGACCCTCAGAGTTCGGTGATCCACGACCGCTTGGAAGTTTCATCCTTAAAGTCCTGAGTTTGTGTGGTGCGATAGGAGGAGGAGGAGGAGGAGGAGGAGGAGGAGGAGGAGGAGGAGGAGGCGGAGGAGGAGGAGGACTTGGCAGGCTCCTAATCAACCGCCTGGAGTCTCCCAATAAGAAAATTGAGCTTCTACGCAGTGCTGGTGCGCGCGGGCGTACGTGGGGAGTTTTTGGATAGCATGTCGTTCCGTCGTGCGAAAAGGTTCCAGTCGGGAGCTTT